TTCCTAGGCTAAAAAAAAAAAAAAAAAACCTTGTGGGTTCCCCTTCCTTAAAACTGTGTGAAAATTATGGCTTAAAATTTTGTTGCTGCACTTTTGGCATACGTAAGCCTGAATGATTTGTTTCCCGGCCTTTATAACAAGAAAACTGCACAGTGTATTAAGTCCAAGACAAATTGAAAATTGGAACTGGTTAACTGCTAGAGGAAATAGTCGTTCCTTTCTTTCAATTCGTGTCGAACTGCATGAAAGAAAAGAAACAAAAAAATACCTGCAAGGTAGAAATGTTCAACCAGTTTGTTGCCAGGAATCGTAAGGCGAACTAAGGCACGAGCGAAGAAGCTATAATTTTATTTGATGCCATGTCCAAATTTTATTCTGGAAGGCTTATTATTTGCTCAAGCTGAATGGTCAAAAAGGCCTTCAGTCTCGAGTTATCAAACTTGGGCAAATAAAAATTTTGGTGTGAATGGAGGAAAACTTCGATTGCAGTTTCATCCCATCTACTTACCAAGTCGACAGGTCGGGCTCATGCCAGGATACGATCAAGCCGTGATCTGAGTAAGCGGGTCTCCCCGCTAAATGGCAAGTGTCATCGTGATTCTCACACAGTATTCACAGTATTAGCGTTAGTCAGTAAATCATCTTGCTTAGTTTTTGACTTAAGCGTGATTTTGATCTTATGGTTAAATGAGAAAGACGAAAAATGTTTCGCGCTAAGCACCCTTCTGCCTTTTCAACAAAGCTTTTGCGTGTCGCGTTAATTCGTTAAATGCCAACAACTAACATAGATTGAGGTTCAAAATTTGTATAATACATACACATCGCGGCAGATATATTATGGAACGAAAATGTTTTCCTATCTCCGTCCCTCTTATTTACGCCTTACTATGCGTGTTTATGCGGTCAGATGAGTCCTTATTTTAACGATGTTAGCAAACTGGGCATTTTGGAAAATTTGTATCACTTTTGACTCGCGGGGTTACGAACGTTATTGCCGATGTTCATTGTAAACCCATTAAAAGTGCCCTCACTAAATACTAAGAGTCTTTATTACAGAAAGGCCAGTGTATATTTAAGGTTGGGTTTTTGCTATTTTTGCAACCGTTAACTTAATTTATGAATGAACTATTAGGTCCGCAGTTGGTTGTTAGTTGTGATCCTCGTTGTATTCCTTTGCCATGAAAAAACAAATAAATAAATAAACAAAAATAAAATCAAAGAACTCTTTGCCGCTGGATTCCTTAGGTAAGTAAGCCAACCACCCCTCGGGGGGGGGGGAGGGGACTCCGTATATGAAAGTGGTGGGGATGCTCGTCGGCTCGCTTAGGGTTGTAAATTTCGGATTTTGGTCTCATTTAGGGTGTTCCGGGCAAAACTCCATCATATTTAGCCGTGAAGGTCTAGTTTAGGATTTTACGCGAAAAATATTAAAATATATATTTGATATGTATATTTTAAATTCGTTTTATTTACTCCATTCATATAATCCAAGTTTTCTCATTTGTCTGTGTTTTAACGTGGTCTCTTTTAGGAATCAAAAAAAGCTTGGGCCACGCCCAGATCGGTCTCCTTTTTCAATTCAAAATTTCCGACGAGCATCCCCACCCCTTTCATATGCGGAGTCTCCCCCCCGGGCCAACCACAAACCCGCAGGCCAATTATTATGGGTTGAACTGTAATTGAGACGCAGCATCGATCGATTGAGTGGCTATATAATTTAACAGAATTTACCTACTGCAGCATGACCACATTTCAATATAAATATTAGTACTTAATTTATTCAGCCACATTCATAATTTGCCATCATCAGATAGCAATTACACGTTGAACAAAGCAAGTAGCGATGCCGAACCATTTTGGACTAAACTTCTTTCAGTATTTCTCAACGACTGAATATCTTTACACTCTCACTATATGAAGATCACTTCTGTCAATAAACGATCAATCATACGCGGCTCCACTTATATAATCACTTGAACTCTCGAAATAACGGATCATTATGGGTCATTGGTAGGTTCTCAGTTGATCCCTAGAGTCACCTTCATGGGGTACAGAAATAAAAGCAACGCCGGATGACCCTTTATAAATAAAGGGGCGATGTTACGTTAATTGCTATATCATTTTAAAACGCTAAAACCTGTCTTCGCATTAATTGAATTCAAAAAATACTAATGGTCCAGTTTTAATATTCATCACTATCACTCTTAGGTATTGAAAAAACAATTTCCTGTCCTCTGTTGACTATATACGGAAGGCAAGGATGGACACGTACATGGATTAAAACTTGAAAAACTTTGGCCAATTTTTTTTAAGTTTAAATGCTATGCCTGTCTTCAGCATAGAAATGACCTAAAGCAGCAATATCCTCGTGACAAAACAGATACAACAGAACTTGGAAAAGGGTTAGACTTGAAAATAATAAACGCGGTCTCCAAAGGGTCGCGAGGCAAAATATCATCATAACATAATATTGCTTAAGTTCCGGTTTTGCTTGTCGTATAAACAGTTATGTTGTACGTATTCTATACGAAAAACTAAAATAACCGATCTAAGTTTTCATTTACTGAAAAACAATGAAAACAGGGACAGTTATCTTGAAAGAGTCATGAGTCCAGACTGCTATAAGGGCGAATGTTACTTTAAGGCAGTTTGAAAAGTGCCGGACATTTCATTTGGCATTATGCATGATAAATAAACTATTGGAAACAATTAAAATAGTTGAACTGAAAAAATATCAACGCAAGAACTTTGATTGAAGTAAGCAAGAATTAGAATTAACCATACGTGGTAACTTGCTTCAGAGCAATGGCACCAGTTGATACTATATATCTGATTAATGGTAATGCAGGACACTTAGAATTCAGAATTTCATTGTCACGAGTTTTGAAGAATGTCGCGAAAAAAGAAAGAAAGAAAGAAGAAGAAGAAGACGAAAAACGAAAAGAAAACGGCCCTACCGTGAAATGATCGAACTCTCTGTATGCTAGGCAGGCCTGCGGCTCTTATAGGAGATATCG